TTCCAGGGGATCTGATGCCCTCTTCTGACCTCTACAGGCACTGCACGATATGCAGGCAATACACTCATACATAAAATAAAAATTAAAAAAATTTTACAACTGTAACTTCAAAAATGGAATCCAAAACTTTCTTTTTCATATTTTATTTATTTTATGTGTCTGTGTGTATTGCCTGCATGTAAGTAAGTGCACCCATGTCCTGCAATGCCCACAGAGGACAGAAGAGGCCATCAGATTCCTCTGGAACTGGAGTTACAGACAGTTATTGTATTATTGTAGTTGATTTATCACTATGATAAAATATTCTGGGCCCACTAAAATCTTGAGATTTAATATAAATTGATGTAAGAAAACAAGGTTGTTACTTGCCCCTTTTTTGAGCTGTAGACTTTTATAATTTTTTATAATTTTTGCTATAGATATTAATAATGAGTCTGCTATTGGGTTTTGTACAATAGTGTTCTGAGATGTAGAGATTTTCCCCAAGGTAAAACTAAAATATATATTGAGGATATAAAACTTAGAGTTTCACTTTTATTTGCCTTCTTGTCCCAAAACTATAAAGTTTCTGAAGGGAGTGTAGACAGCTATAAGACTTTAAGAAAGCTATTTGCAGGGCTGGAGAGATAGCTCAGCCACTAAGAGCACTGGGTTCAATTCCCAGCATCCACATGGTGGCTTATAACCATCCTAACTCCAGTTCCAGGGAATCCCACACCCTCTTCTGACCTCCTTGAGCATTGCAGGACACTGGTGCACTTATATACATGTAAGCAATACTCACACATAAAATAAAAATAATAAATAAAATATTAAAAAAAGAAAGCTATTTACATGGGGAAGTGAGCTCCACTAAAGAATAGGATGTTATTTAGTTATATCTAAAATGTAACCATTACAGGAAAGTTAACTTTGGAATCATAAAAGGATGTATCTTAAGCATTAAAAATTGTAAATAGTGAATCTAGCTAGCATTCATAGAGATAGAGGTATTAATATTGTGACTTTGCAAGATATTAAAACATTTACTTAAATATTTTTTAATGTGTGTTCTGCCTTCATGTATGTAAGTGCCCCCATATCATGCAATGCCCATGGAGGCCAGAAGAGAGCATTGGATTTACAGACAATTATGAACTGCCATGGCTGTGCTGAGAATTGAATCCCAGTCCTCGGCAGAAGCAGCCAGTGCTCTTAATGGCTGAGCCACCTCTCCAGCCCCTTAAGTAAACATTTTTCTATGTGAATTCTTTCATTGGAAACTTTCTGTAATGTGCTATGCTTCTAAGCCTTTTGAAAATTATATGACTGAGAGGCTGAAGAGATGGCTCAGCAGTTAAGAGTGCTGGCTCTTCTTGCAGAGGACCCAGGTTCAAATCCCAGCACCCACATGGTGGCTAACAACCATCCATAACTCCAGTTCAAGGGGATCCAATGCCCTCTTCTGATCTCCACAGGCATTGCACAGCACTGTTGGACATACATACATGCAGGCAATACACTTGTACACATAAAATAAAAAGTGAATAAAATATTTTAAAAATATAACTGATATAAACTTGTGAAAAAGAAAAATATATAGCTAAAAAGCTGATCTTTTCTGACAATAACGTGGCCTAGAAATGTAAATTAAAAAATTTTATGTGGGCCAGGTGTGATGGCACACACCTTTAATCCCAGCACTCCATAGGCAGAGAATTGCTATGATTTTGAGGCCAGCCTGGTCTATATATGAAGTTTCAGGCCAGCCAGGGCTATACAGTGACACCATGTCTTAAAAAAAAATTAAACGGGAACTAGACAGGTGAATTTTTTTAATAATCTAGAACAGAGGGGTGGGAATTGACATTTATTGAATGACAAAATCTTAAAGACTTTGTATTCAACAGCTTTTTTTTTTTTTTTTGGTCTTTTTGAGACAGGGTCTTCCTGCAGCCCCAGCTGGCCTGGAACTCACTATGTGGACCAGGCTGGCCTTGAACTCACAGAGATCTGCCTGCCTCTGCCTCCCAAGTACTGGGACTACAGGTGTGCGCCACCATGCCCAGCTACCAACAGCTCATTTTAACCTACATTATCAAATTGTTTTGCTAACCAAGGAATGGTCTTCAGGTAGTAGTGGTGTAGCTGAGCCAGGATTGAACTGTCATGCACTTCTAGGACCAAACTTTTGTCTTCCATTTCTGGCTTCTGAAAGAATGCCATTTTTTCTCTTTTACTGTCTCTATGGGATCATATTTACAGATCCATTATATTTTCCCATCTGCAGCTGTGAACGTGTTATTAAAGATAGAGTCTCACTGTGTGATCTGAGCTGGCTGTGAACGTTAGATTTCCCTACCTGAGCCTCTTGAATTCTGAAATTACAAGCATGTTCTGTCCAGCGTTTGTCCTTTGTACCTGTCTGCAGCTGAGGATCTATGAAGATTTTGCTGCCTTCTTCCTCTGCCCTGTACCAGTTCAGAGAAACCACCTGTCTTCAGTCACCACTTCTTCTCTTGGCTAAGGGAAGTCTCCTGTGAGTACCAAAGCCATCCCCACCTCTGCTCCCTAACTTACGTGTTTATTCATTTTCCTTCTGTAATCCTGATGAAAGGCATGGCATCCTGGAAACGAAAGGTGAAACCATTATCCCTGGTTTGGACTAAGGGCAACTGAGGCAAAGGTGTAAAAAGGAAGAAGTAGTCCTTAGAGCAAATTGTTGTAAGCTTGGTTGAAAAATGAGTCATTTTAAAGCTCTGCTTATGGAAATGTCCTCAGTAGGCAAACCTACTTTGGAAGCCAATGTAGTAGACACTGGCTTGACCATCTCTAAACAGGAAGGTGATCTAATTTCAACAGACATGTTTTGCCCAGACTGTTGGGCTAGTCCTAATTTAGTATCAACCTAAGTGACATGTACTATGTATTATTAGTTGTGGGCTGAAGATGAAGTCTTACTCCAGAAATTAAGAGAAGAATCCAGAGCTGTTTTTCTACAGAGGAAAAGCAGAGAACTCTTAGATAATGAAGAACTACAGGTACAAAGGAAATAAAAGTTTGCTTTAGATGTTGGCATTTCTTTTGTACTCAAGTCATGCAGGATTTTATTGTGCGTCACTGACTCATCACTACAGAGTGGCGCTCACAAGCTGCTGAAGCAGGGATCTACCAGAATTGGCTGCTGAACGTGCCTGGGCCATGATTTCTAAGGATAGGGCTGTTGGCTTCATTTTGGTTTTTGTCTTAAGTCCCCAGATAATTTCTGATGTGCTGCCAAGGTTTGAGAAACAGCTATAGTACGATTGGACTGCAGAGATTCAAATTCTGGCTCTACTGAATGGCTTTTAGACAGAAGGCTTAGTATCTTGACACTTTAATTCTCATGTGTAGAGGTAGCTGTCTGTATTACATAGTTACACGGGTTAAAGAAGCAATATATTTGAAAAGCTTAAAACTTTAGTAGGCACAATAAATGTTAGCTATTTTTTATTGTTATTAGTAATCAGCCTCCTTAGTGCTGGGATTAAAGGTGTGTACCACCATGCCCTGCTGACAGATAACCCTTTAAATAGTACAGCCATCATGACTAGTATATGAAAATTGCTTATACCATATCTAATATCCAAGGAAAATTTACTACCAGATGCTTGCAGTAGATATCAGTGTGGTGTGCTCATTAATTGATCCCATAGGTATAATTACAGGTCATGATTTTAGTGTCTGTCTTTTTGCAGTACTGAGCTAGAAATGCTGCATTTACAAAACAAATGAACACAAAAGTTATAACCAAGAGTTGTTACAGCTCTGCAGTTAGCTGTCATAATCTCAGATGTGAATTTTCATTATGTGAACAAAGTCAGGTCCAGTTGTCATCAAAAGGTGCTGGTAGAGTGGTCAGACGCCTTCCACCATAGATCCCCAGTCCATCGGCCAGTGGCTGAGAAAGCAGCAGAGGCAGAAAAACCTTCAGAAATTTGACTTAGAAAAATGTTCTTTTTTATTGGTTTGGTTTGAGACAGGATCTTACCCTAGCCCAGGCTGACCTGAAACTTGAATTCTGTAATGCTGTAACTCAGGATGACCACAAATGTGTGGCAGTTCTCCTGCCTCACCCTCCTGAGTGCTGGGATTAGAGGCATACACAACCATGCCTGACTGCCCCTTTTCTTCCTAACCCTTGTTTCTTAGGCAGAGAGTAGCCATGCTCTTGGTGTTTAAAAAGGAACTCTTTGGCCCATTGCAGTGGCAGAGGCAGGTGGATCTCTGAGTTCCAGGCCAGCTTGGTTTACATAGATTCCAAGCCAGCTAGGGCTACAAAGTAAGATCCTGTCTCAATCAAAAAGGGAAGGGGGTAGGGGTGTTTTGTTTTCTTACTGTCTTGGCCAATCTCATATCCAATTGGAGTTTTTCTTCAAGATGCTTTTGGCTTATTTCCTTCTCAGTATAATCTTCCTCAAACTGAGTTGTTTCTCCAGTGCTGTGTGTGTCTGTTTCAGAAGCTCTGTTGTGTCTGTGAGCCAGGTGGGCCATCACAGTAAGAACTCTTGGAGCTGCTCTGTCCAGAGTCATGCTGGGCACCAGCAGTGTTGTTCCATATCACCTTTATAAACAGAAACTGGAACTGGAACACTGTTCCTATCCCATTATTACTAAGGTACTGTTCTACCCAGCAGCCCTGCAGATTCTCCTCATGCAACTTTGAGCCCTGCTCTGCACTCCCCACTGGAGCTAGGAAAAGGAAGCAGTCACAACAGACAGACACTCAGCCCTGAGCCCAGGCTGCAGTGGTTGAAGGGATACACCCAGGCCTTCATTCTTTCATTTTTCAGACAGAAGAATGCAAAGGAAGAATGCAGATATGTAAAACTTAGTATTTCAAATTTTTGGACCGGAAGGAGTCTTTATACTTTCTCACTTTGGTTTTTAATTGTATGAATTTATGTTGTTTGCTAAGTCTTATAGAGGTCATTTTTGTTTTATGTTGGTAGACTATTTTAATCTTTATTTTCTTTTCTAGGCACTTTTTCACTCTAAAAGTCTTTGCCAAACTCCTTCATGCAGATTCATATGGAAGAATTTCCATCATGCAGTTCTTTAACTATGTCATGCGAAAAGGTGATTCAGTTGCGTATGTGTGTATTTGAATTTCTCTTGTCTGGGACTCAGGTTTTTGGTCTGTGCTTTTATACTCTTTTTCTCATGTGACACAACATCCTTACTCTGCTACTATGATTTTCTTATGTGCCTTAATTGGGTCATTATTTTAAACAAGCAAAAGCCTCATGTATCATAGATAGTAGCAAAATAGAAACATCAAAAGCAGAACTACTTTTTTTTCTGCCAGACTGCTGCCCTCGTGGGTCACATGCATACACCCTTGAAGGGCCTGTCTCAGTCTGCTCTGTTCTGTAACTTGGCCAGAGTTGACATCTGACAACATGAAGAAGCAGATTTACAAAGTGAACAAGAAAGGCCTGGCTCCCTTACAAATAGGTGTGATCCTGAGAGCCTCAAATGGTTTTGCATTGTGCATTGTGTGACTGGCAATACACTTTACAGAATCCTTAAGTCCAGAGGACTTCTACCTAATCTTCCTGAGGATCTATGGGTCATCTACAGCCTCTGCCCTAGTAGCATAAACCTGTCCTTTATACTTGAGTAATGAAATCACTTTTTAAAAAAGGCCAGGTGTGGTGGCACATGCCTTGTCTCAAAAAGCCAAAAAAACAAAACAAAAAACCAGGCTGGAGACACCAGCACTCACATGGCGACTTACAACCATCTGTAACCCTAGTTCCAAGGGATCGGACAGGCTCTTCTGGGGCACCCGGAACACACGTGGTGTACGTAACACACATGTAGGCAAAACTCTCATAAAATAAATATATATCATTTGAAAAACAGAACCAAGAGTTTTAATGGGTGGTGATTTGAAATAATTTTAACTTACTGGTAATTTTCTTTCACTATATAAGCTTCAAAAGGATAGTCTCAAATCCACAACTCTAGTATTGGTTTCAAGAAGCCTCTACTAACAACTTGGGAGTTGTTATGAATCTTGAAGTACCATAATGGTCTGGAGAGTCTTACTGTGTACCATCCTGAGTTAATTTAGCTACAGTAATTAACCTCAGTAGAGTACACGCAGCTCCATTGACACAGCATTATGCTTGCTCTCCCTGTTTGGTGGACAATGAGTTGAATAGGTTAGAAGCGATGTCTTCATAGGCACCAGTTTTATTGTAGTTGTAATCATGGCAGGGTTACTGAAATCTGCCTTTTCGTGGCCTTTTTGTTTCGTTTTAAATAATTTAGTGATTAATGATTACTTAATGTGTGTGAAAGAAAGTAGGTTTATGGTGTTACTAAATTGGCTTACACCTCTAACCTAGCTTCATATTTTTTTCATATATGTGTTAAAGAGCAGATCTAAATATTTACATTTAATTTTCTTGTTTATTAACAGTCTGGCTTCATCAAACAAGAATAGGACTCAGTTTATATGATGTTGCTGGGCAAGGGTACCTACGGGAATCTGTAAGTATTAACACTTACAGACATTAAAACATTAACAGTAATTCTCACTAGGTGTTGTAATTATAGGTAAATCTATAAAATTTTGTTTGATTTTATGCCCTTTGTTTGCCTGATTTTGCCTTTATAAATGTTAGTAAAATTATAACGTATTCTGACCATATAAATTCATGTTTGCATTCTTTTTCTTCAGCCTTTAAAAGATAGATTTTTTTTTTGTCTTTTTGAGACAGGGTATCTCTGTAGCCCTAGCTGGCCTGGAACTCACTATTGTAGACCAGACTGGCCTTGAACTCACAGAGATCTACCTGATTCTGCTGGGATTAAAGGCACTTAAAGAAAATACTGAAGTTGACTTCCGGCCTACACCCCCCCCACACACACACACAGAGTAAGTGCACATGTGCACAGATGTTTACAGACACAGAAACTCAAAAAAAAAAACAAAAGGAACTCTTTGGCTAGGCATAGTGGCACACACCTTTAATCTTAGTTCCTTAGGAAGGCAGGTGGATCTCTGTGAGTTCAAGGCCAGCTTGGGCTACATGGTGAGTTCAGGCCAGTCACAGCTACATAGTGAGATGCTGTCCTAGTTTGTTTCTCCATTGCTGTGACAAACCACTCTGAACACTATCAACTTGGGGAGGAAAGGGTTTATTCGGCTTACATCTTCTGGGTCACAATTCATCAGGGATCCCAGGGTAGGAACTCAGGGCAGGAACCTGGAACCTGGAGGCAGGAGCTGGAGCACAGGCCATGGAGGAACACTGCTTACTGGCTTGCTCCCGTGGCCCCTGCTCAGCCTGCTTTCTTAAGCAACACAGGCCCATCTGCCCAGGGGTGGCACCACCCACAGTGGGCTGGGCCTTCTCACATCACTCAACAATCAAGAAGATGCCCCATGGACATGGCCACAGGCCAGTCCAATGAAGGAAATTCCCCAGTTGAGGCTCCCTCAACCCAGGTGAGTCAAGTTGACACTAAAGCTATCCAGCACAGATGCTATGTAAAAAAAAAAAAACCCAAAAACAAATCCCAGGGGCTAGAGAGATGGCTCAGCAGTTAAGAGCACTGACTGCTATTACAGAGGACCCGGGTTCAATTCCCAGCACCCACATGGCAGCTAACTGCCAGCAGTAAATTTTTATTTATTGTGTGTGCACATGATGGGTGGGAGGCATTCCACAGTGCATATATGGAAGTCACACAACTTTGTGGAGTCATTTCTCTCCTTCCACATTTATGTGAGTTCTAGAGATCAAACTAAAGTTGTCAGGCTTGTGCACCAAGCACTTTTACCTAATGAGGCATCTCACTGGCCCCTCAGTTATATATTGAAAGTCACAACATATAAAAAGGATATGGTGCCAGGCATGGTGGTGCATGCCTTTAATCCCAACACTCTGGAGGTAGAGGCAGGCGGATCTCTGTGAGTTCAGGCCAGCCTGGTCTACATAGTGAGTTCCAGGACAGCTGGGGCTACAGGGAGACCCTATCTCAAAAAAAAGGATATGGTAGAATATGCCTACAGTCTCAGCTAGTCAAGAGTCAGGAGGATGTTTTGAGCCCAAGGAGTTCAAGGACAGCACCATAGTGACACCCATCATAATAAAGTAAAAGAAATCAATAATATGTTACTTCCTGGGAGGGAAAAATAAATGAAAGTCTTTGTTTTGTGTATGTGTATATGGTTTGTTTGTGACAGGGTCTTCCTATAGCCCTAGCTGGCCTGGAACTCACTATATAGTTCAGGTTAGACTTGATCTCACAAAGATCCTCCAGAGTATGCCACCATGCCCAGCTGAGTCTTTGTGTTTGAAATCAAGGCAATCCCAATGCCTTAGCCTCTCAAGTGCTAGGAATGCAGTGTGAGCCACCATGTCCAGCTAATATAGTTTTAAGGCTGAATAGTTTTTAGCATGAAAATTATATTCCAGTACCTTATAAAGAATGAACTGTGGGGGCTGGAGAGATGACTCAGCAGTTAAGAGAACTTGCTGTTCTTCCAGAGAACCCAAGTTCATTTACTAACACCCACACTTGGAGGCTCACACCTGCCTATGACTTCAGTTCCAGGGGATCTAATGCCCTATAAAAGCCTCTACAGTTACAT